TTGGTCCTCTCGATCTCGAACAGTGTCCGGACAATTCGTGTAACTGTAAAAATTGTTGCTCTGGTTGTTAGATGGGGCATCGGCCTAGTGACTTCCGAAGAATCTCGGTTTTCACCATAAGGCGCTATAATCCTTCTTTCAACTTCGAGATCAGAGTTTAAATGGTTTAATTTGTTTATTCTGGTTAGCGGTGATGAGATGAGGTTATTAACCCTTTGTCTAACCCTCTTTCTTTCCTCGGGCTTGGAACCGGCAGTAGTCCATGAAGCATTACATGCGGTGTTATGAAATGTTATGTGTAGATAATTAATTATTCAGTTGCTTTACGAATTCTTTAATATGTCCACCCATTCTCCTTATTCTTAAGTCTGCGAATCCTTTACAAAATACATCCTTAAAATATTTTAATAAAGTTTGCTTAACGAAGGTCAACAGTGTTGGTTTCTACTGGACGACGAAAAGTGTAAGGCCACAAATGAAAACTTAGAAGCAGTGGTCGGCCATTATCCAACATGCGACATTCGAACCCAGAACCTTCGGTCGCGCGTAAACACTCAACCTCTAGACCACTGAGCTGGCACCAAACGGTGTTAATGTCCAATTTCAACCAATTCACGATATTGCGCGATCATCTTCCATAGTCTTCAGTAGATAACTGCATCACACACGACACAGTTGAACTCCATTGGTCAAGGCTTATCACTAGAATGCCAAGAGTTACTTCTCGAAGCTGGTCGCTAATGAGCACATGATAAATATAAGTGTATGTTGACTTTCTTTACCAATGAAAAATATCTTGTAATCAAAAATTTCTTATTTAAAATGAAACAATGTTAAACCAGGTTGAAATACTCAGGTATCTTTAAAAATGTGGAGTTATGCAGGAAATATTTATTAAATAGCATTATAATCACCAGTACGAACGTAAATTGAAAAATGGTCTATATGTATAGTAGACTTCACAGTGAATCACCAAATGTAGCAGGCAAGATATTGAAGGCTTATCAATATTTAGTCATACGATATAATAGATTTATAACCTTTTATTTCAACCGCATCACTACAAGCACGTTCACAATCAATTAAAAGGTTATGTAAGCATGACCTAATTGTTATGCCACTTAATTAAATCGTGTTCAAAAATAACCCTCAATTATTTAAACTGATAAGCATTCTGTTATGCAGATGGGCACGTTTTCCGGAAGATATATATAGATATACCTTTTATGCGACTAATTGCTAGTTAAGTAGTGATTAAAAGTTACTACATAAAAAAGCATATTTCCATATTGGTTACTATCAGAGTGCTTCTGTCATCAAAAATACTGTGAATAAACAATTTTGTAACCCAATTTATATCTTTTCTGTTAATGAGCTGATTGATTCTTCTTACTTACTTTTACCATCACAAACACGAACAACATTAGGTGAGGTTTAAGAACACTTAAGATTTATACTACAAAACTACAGTTTAGTATCTTATTCTATTGGTAAAACTTTACGCTAAGTAGATCTCATATTTCTTAAAATCATCAATTATTTGAATTTTGGATCAGGGGAAATACAAATATCATACTAAATGAACATGCTATTTCTATAGGCTGGCAAATTTAAAATTATAATTTAGATATCAATTTGATGTTTTAAATCATCTAGTAGAGCTGTGGATAGATCTCGCAAATACAAGTGAATTTTATCGAATTTTTAAAACATAACTACCATTCTTAAGCAGGGTGTGGAAAACATTACCTTTCAATATATAAACCAGCAAGATCAATAATTTTAATAACTTGTTGAATATAGTAAGGAAAAAAGTGATTTTTATCCATAGTTATGGTTTGTAGAGTTGAAGATCTTTTTGACCTTTTGCCTTCTTTATGTATGCATAAATAAAGACGCAATGAATTTGTGTGGTGAATGCATTATGAAATCTCCCATCTCTGACATTCCTTTCTAAGGTTGAAATCAAGGATCTAATATTTTGTAATGTTTTTATAATGAAATAATTACAACTTTAGAATGGATTGTAATGAACAATCAAGATGTAAATATATAAAAGCACCTGTTGGTATAATGGGCCTAATGATCGTCAATGTGTTTATAAGTCCCCAGATTCCCTGGTACTGCCGAAGGTTGGGAAATCCCGCTTCCCTTCTTGGAGTGGCCTCATATGACCACTCATATATAGTCCTACTCATTCTTTTCTCGCAGCGGTGTTATTTACAGAGTCGAGAAGACGAAAAGTGAATAGTGAGCACTCAAACTGAGCTTGTGTATAAGAAAGATCCGCCTAGGGGAGTTGGAAAACCTTTATCACAAACCAATTGTTCACATGTGCTCTAGGATTTTGATGAATCGAATGGCATATTAACATATACTCGGTCATTATGAACCAGATTTTCTGAAACCACATGTTCCATTTAAACTGACCTTTTTCAACGTTCACACATTGATGCACATAGGAAAATAGACAGGTTTGGCTACAACTTTAAAAAGCCTCTAGTAAAGTACTATAAACTAGTTATCCACCTACCGATTTGAAATGCGTGTTTCGTGTGTTTATCAGGGGACCCAGTGGCATCTTCGTCTGGTTCTGACGGAGTTGGTGTCACACTAAGCTCTAGAGCTGAGGCTGTATTAATCGTTTAGATTCTCATTAAAACGGTCGAAGAGGTGGGGATAGATTGGAAACCCAACAACAGTCGCTACCTTGAATGGTGACCGGGCTTGCCTCTCCTGATGACTCACTCGGGCTATCTTGGGTGGAATACATGATTCTGTAGGTCATACCATGCCAGGTAGGTTGGTTGGAGAATGATAAGATTAAAAGCAGCAACTTAAGATTCGAGGGCGACGTTGTACTGCTGACTGTAAAGGGGTGTGGAGCTAGTAAAGTGTTTCTCTCAGACAACTAGCAACTCCAGCGATCTCGTCTTCTCACAACTGAAGAAAGAGATTAGAAAAGGTCGACCTCAAAATGTCACACCACACCTTACACTATGGATTTCTGTCTCCCTTTTGAAGTGCGAAGCCAACATATCAGAAACTTCTCATGAAAAGCCTGTGCGCGATCAGCATCAAGGACTTTTCCCTTGGGGTCTGCGCTCACGCTTCTAAGTTGCTAAGACCACCATCAATTCAGCTCCTTTATTTGGACCCTCAAAAAATATTCCTCCATATTGCAGGCAACCGGGAATTGAAAATCACTCTCACACCTCTATCAACACCCGAGATCATCCTGTTCACAATCAAACCCCTTCCTCACCTCTTGGTAGTTCATTCATCTCCACAATTAACCCTTCGCGTTTCTCTTCATCATCACGCATCACCAATGTTAATGATCTGAGTCCACGAAATGTTATTCATAATCCCCCGAAACCACTCTCTATACTACATGTTGAAGCTTTTAGTTTTCGAATCTCACATCAGATAGAACAACGGGCTACTTTAGCTAAGACTCTAGAATCTCGCACTATCTATGTATGCTGCGTCTAAGAAAAACTCAGTCAGAATCCAAATACAGTCACTCGCTTAACCTCACCTTGTCAATATGAAGAACCAGGACGGTTTATCCTTTGGTTATCTGGAGACCCCACTGCTACTTCTCGTGGCCTCGTTGGTATAGGTATAGCATCAATTTCGAAAGCTTACCAGGCTCTGGTAGACTGGCTTCCAATAGACACCCGCTTGTGCGCTATCCAACTAAACGCGACAGTAAAACTTGGAAAGATAGGGACACACGGCGTTGCCTTTTCGTTATCCCTATCTATGCTCCTACTGATTGATCGACTGAGCGAAATCAGTGGATTTCAACGGTTTTTACAGAACTGAACGATGTGCGGACTCAACCCGTCTGGCTCCGAACACCATCAGGAGAGGAGGCTGCATAGACATAGACTGATAGACAACCTACGCAATGATTATGAGCAGTGACGCTTAGAGGAAGCAGAAGAGATGGAAAAGGTAGTAGTGATAGGTAACAGTAGACAAGTGTTCAGAATAGTCCGACTGTTGGTGAAACTGTCAGAAGAGGACAGGACTGTTATTCACTCTCAGTTCAGGAAATCGAATCGATGGGTAGAACACTTGAGGGAATAGTTCAACTGACCTTCAGTCACATTTCAGTTACCCAATATCTTCAAGCAACCTGAATTGCAAATTGACGTAAATCATCTAACTCTTAGTGAAGTTGAAAAAGCTATAAGTAATCTAAAAGGGGAGAGGGTGGCAAGGCTTGATGAATTAACCTCCAAGATGTTTAAGGATGGTGGTCTACTTTTAGCAGCTGGATTAACTAAGTTCGCATCTGACTAGTCTCGATTGCTGATTATTCCAGTTTATAAGAAAGGACAAAATCCTCTTGTGAGGATCGCAGAGGAATCAGTTTAACTAAAGTAATGTATGAAATATTAGCCTCAGTAATACTTTGACGTCTGACAACCGCTCGTGAGAAGCGAATCTGAGACAACCAGAATGGTTTAAATTAAATAATTATGGATTTATCTTGAGAGTTTACAAGATCGTTTAACAAAGCACAAAAATCTTGGGTTAACAATAGTTATCAAGTAGAATGAATCGTTACCTGACATTATAATTCGGCATTTCCTGGAGTTCTAATGAGAAGGCGTGACCATTGAAGTTCAACCAGGTCTGTTGTGAGATATCAGCTCAATGAAGACAATGGTGTACGGTGGCGCAATTTCGTGGATTAGTTAAAGTTAGACATTGACACCGTTGGATGCCGGCTCAGTGGTTTAGTGGTTAAGCGCTCTCGCGCAAGACTGATAGGTCCTGGATTCGAATCTCACAGTAGGCGGGGTCGTGGATGCGCACTGTTGAGGAGTCCCACAGTAAGACGAAACGGCCATCCAGTGTTTGCAGGTTATTCATGGTGTTCTAGCTTCAATTAACTCATGATTTTAACTATTGAAATTACTAAACTCTCCATAAAACCCCTTCTGATAATTTATACACGTCAAAATAATAAAAACGGAAAACATAACAAGAAAGTATTGGGTATTTTATTTCAAGTTTTCATTTGACTGACTTCCATAACAGGGAATTAAATAATAAACATCAAGTAGCAACGCAGTATTTGAAATAAGTATTATGAGAGAAGTAAACAAAAAACTGATACACACACATATAGATAGAGAGAAAAACAATAGTCAGAAGAATATAGATCGAGGTGTAATAACTAATTAAACTTTTTTTAGTGCTTAAGCAGGTTTGTATTAATTTGCCAAGTTAAGATAGGATAAACTGATAATTTAACATTGATATTATTCAACGAACATAATAACCATGACAGAAGTAAAGGGAAATGAAGTTTTTATTCGAATAATGATCTACACACATTTCTACAATGATCCGATATTGAGTTAGAGAGTGAATAAATTGAAAAGATCAAAACTAGAAGATAATCATTAAAATCTAAATAAAGCACCACGACATACTTGTAAATGTAGCAACAAAAAATAGCATGTAAAAATTACAACATGAAATAAGGAATGATAATATAGAGATTCATAGAGAAGAGAAGACAAATGAAAAAAATGTAATAGACAACTTTAAAGAGTTTCATGACATTTATAATGTCATAGTAACAAGATAAACTAATCACTATGGTGTATACTTTTCTGTTCATTATCATTTCAAACCAACTAACAAATAAAAACTTAGGGACAACTATACAATTACACCTAAAAGAAAAAGAGTCAAAATAAGAGAGTAGAAATTTAACAAAGAAAGATATAGATAAAAGAAAATAGGGAATGAAAAAGAAATACATCGAATCATTGATCTACATTTTTGTCAATAGAACAATACTCTGTATGGAAAAAACAAACAAACATTCTTTTGATATTTAACATGAATATCATTTTCAGTATATACTTTGTTGACAAATAAAACATTATCGAATTTATTCTTTGGATTTTAATTGATCACGCCAATCTTCTTTCTACACATTCATATGAAGTTAATTTATTGCAAACAGAAAAGAGCAAGCATTAATGTAAGAAACAAAAAAAACACCAAAAAAAAGTGAAGAAAAGAATCATTGTAAATAGGGACTAAATTATAGTCTATATGATTATAATGAATACAATAAAAGATAAGCATCTGGTGTGACAGATAGCAATAATATAATTTCTTTGACTAAACTTACTGTATTATTTCTTGTTTGTTCACTTGATAAATTAAGTTCAATGTCTATATATTAATTCATTTTATTGTCTTGTCCTTTGTTGTTTTACGATAATAATAATAATAAAAAAAGTTTATTTATGAACGATATACTGACTGTTAATTGATTATTGATGGTTTGGGTAAAAGATAGAGTAAACTATTATTTAGGTGTATTCTTGTAGTTTATTGAATAGTGTATGTTATAAAAGGATAGATTTAATATGAAGATCCAAAGAAATTTATGATTAGATACGATGAAACAAGCGGAAAAAAAGAGAAAACACAAAAAAAATACATACAATCATTTAAATTAAAAAAAAAAAAACTATTCAATGAACTTAAAATCAAATCTAGAAAAAAAAACTAAATTCAAACTAATATCATGCAAATTATATTAATCAACATAATTCGATGTAAAACTCTTCTACAGTTTCTATGATCTGTTTTTTGTTCATGAATATACTTCAACCATAATTCTAATTCACTTGGTATTGTTTGAGTTGTATCTTCACATTGAGGTTTAAGACTGCAATTGATCAGTCTATTATTGGCATATGTGCATACTGTGCGTATGCCTCGATATCACCTTAATTCACAAGCTTTTTGTAAGCAATGATGGATAGTAGCTAGCAGTGGAATCCAGGAAGCGCGTTTCGTCCTATTTGAGACTCGTCAGCTAGATGTGCCTGCATCTCAGAGTTAATGTTCACTCTGAGACTCGAACCCAGTACCATTCGCTTCAAACGCCATCGCGTTATCCACTCAGCTACTGGGTCCTGATAGCCACTTGCTTGTGCAATGAAGTGAACATCAACTCTCTGCGATGCAGGTACATCCAACTGATGAGTCCCAAATAGGACGAAACGCGCGTCCTGGATTCCACTGTTAGCCACTATCCATCATTGCTTACAAATCATAATTCTAGTTTGAATTAATAATCATGTTGAATAAATATTTTGGATTCTTTATTCTTCCTAGGTAGATACTTTGAATATAGAGGATATAAATGGTAGTATGAAGGATATTGAATATATGTTACTCAATATTATTATATACATGATTATTAGTAACCGGTTATTTAAATTAATATCAGGATAAATAAGTGAATATTGCAAATTTTATTATTCAAATTGCTTTCATGTTACTAACAGTATTGATGACTGTTAATGTAAAGAATCTAATAAATCCTTAGTTTAATTTATCTATTCATGGTTAGTTTAAGTTTTAAATGGAATTATCAATTTCAAACTATTTAGTTACTTAATACAAGTCACTGATAGATTTTAGAAAAGGATTAAATAACTGTATTTGGTTTTGTTTCAGAAGACCCGGATAATTACGACGGAGAATAGCTATTACTGCTATTTTTCACACTTTAACAGTTCTTGTTGCTTAATGTTTTGTCCTAACTAAAGAGCTCAGTTGATGCATTGGTAAAAATGTGAGATCCAAAAGTCGCCAAGTTATTACTGAGTGGTATTGAGAGGTTAATGAAATGTATTTACGTACTTAACCAATCTAGTCCATTTGTAATCAGTAAAAACATAAGTCAACCTATATTTTAAAACTACTTCAAAATGGTAAGCTCTAGTGAAATCTCATGCTCACTCCGTATTATATTCCAAAATCTAATTAAATATAACTGAATAAAATACAAACTAATAGGAGCAGAATGAAGTATCAGTTGAGGAGTAAGTCATTTTATGTTAAAGATAATTATGAGTAGATTGTATGAATCGAGTTGATTTGAAATAACCAATGTTTTAATAGTAGTCAGAAGTGATACCATACGTTGTTTATTCTTAGAGATTATATAACGTTCCTAGTTGTTATATTAAATCAGACTTATCATTGGAAAACCCATCAAAGTCAGTTACATACTCCCCTAAAGTAAGTCATATCTGAGCCTTATTAAAAGAAATATTTCTTAACTGGAAAAGCTTCTATTTTTCAATGTATCATTAAATACTCAATGTTGTAAATCGGTTTACATATAAGAGAACTGATGTACACCTTCGACAAATATATATATATATATATATATATATATATATATATATATATATATAAGCAATTAACACAATGTAAACATTCACTCTCTATACATGAGGGAGGTGATTTATTTTAATATCCTTAAGTAAGATTTTACTTAAAGTTTATTAGTTGTTTTGACTTAGAAACAAATAAAACTCATAATTTCATACGGCTAAGTTACAGCTAACTTATTGGTATACGTTAATCATCTTAATAATATTTTATAGAACTTACCACGACTTCATCTTTTTCCTCCAAAGCGTACTTACTATGACCGGTTGACTTAAGTTGACTACGGAAAGAAGAAAGTGAATGTCCACCTTCCTTCTTCTCAAATCGTGCCATATGACTTTCAGTTTTGGATACCTTCTTTAAAACTGGTTTAACGCTATACAAATTTAATGAAAGTAACATATATAATAATTTATTATTTTGCAGAATGAATTCTTCATTGTACAATCTATCTGAATTCTTTCCATCTCGTTATCGAATAAACCTAATCAAGAAATATATTCTAATGTATTAATAAACCCTAAAATTATTACAAAACATAATGTACAATAGAATCTACTCAATAAATGCTATATGTTAAGTGTTCTCATAAACAATTTGAGTGAAAGTATACAAGGTTGTTTTAAAAAAACATTTAAATAACTATTTTGAGTGATCAATGTTACTGGGGTAATTTTTCTGTTTTATCATTATTATATTCAGAAGAATGAAAATGACAAATGAATAAGTTTAATTAAAAGCAGCTAACTTTTGATAGAGTTTTGTTCTCTGAGCTGGATGGTTTGGTTGTAGAGCTTTCATTGTTCTTCTGAACGACATAATCAGCACAAACTTCAGATAGAAGTGAAACGTTCGAATTTCTCCATATGTGGTTCACAGCTTGTCCTGTAGACCTCGATGTTGATTAGTTCTTGCTCACCGTTGCTGCTACCTTGACGCGGTGGTCGGGCATGCCTATCGTGACGAACCAATCGGGCTACACTGGCTTGAACATTCGTTTCTCAAGGTCCTACCATGCCAAAGAGGTTGGTTGAAGAGTGGTAAGATTAAAAGCAGCAGACCTAAGGTCCAAGGATGAAGTCGTACTGCTGACTGTACAGAGGTGTGACGGCTGTAAGGTGTTTTCCTCGGACAACCAGTATGAAGGAAGGGTGGGGTTAGAAAAGGTCGTCCCCAAAATGCACATCTCGCACTATCCCACGGATTTCCGTCTCTGGCGGTAAGGTCCCAATAAGTACAGAGCTAACACGAAAATTACTCACGAAAAGGTCGTGTGTAACCGGCTTCAAATAGTTGTCACCTGAGCACCGCGGTCACACTCTCGGGTCAATAAGACCAACCCTAACCCAATTTCTTATCCAGGTACCTCTCGAAGAACCCTTCCATGATGTGGGTAACCGGGAAGTGATTATCACCCTAATACTTCTAACAGCGCTCAAGACCACTGTCTGACTGAATTTCTTATGTAATTAGTTACTATTTTACAGAGACAACATATTAGAAATATGAGTTATCCTGGTGGTAGTACGTTCATATTTGATTTTATGTTGTATAGTAGTGATATTTAGAAGCATTCGAATTACTGTACGAACTAGGAATCCCAAAGATAACGCAATCTAAGTAAACAGAACTCGGTGAGCAAAAACAAACGTTTTGTATTTCGAATTCGAATCGAGGCAGTCATCAAGTGCAGAGGAATCATTAGTTCATACAAATACCACATTAGTGCATAGGAGATCCGTGGAATTGATAGTAATGAGCCCATTTTTAATAGTATGGGGAAATTATACCTTTGATAATTTTAGTACTTCGTTTTTCTTTGAGTATAACGTTTTTCTGACCAAGTATTTATTTTCAAGAGACCTTGGTTTATATATAAGCGGAAAGTGCTAACCACCCTCGTAGCTCTAACAGCACTCAAGAACACTGAATTTGTAATCAATTTCTCTCTTCGATTCCTAATATTCCTCCTACCTCGACAGATACTCTAACAGCAATAGCAAATAATTTACAAACTTAGATTTTCCCAATTATTTTAATCTAATAGTACTAATAATACCTAAAATAAGTTGTAAAAATTGAAAAAACATTGTTTAACTTATTGAATTTCCTGACCTGTAGATATTTCGACACATGTTTCATTGTTAAACTGGTCATCGTCAGTGACAAAATTACAACTATCTTAGTACAGTACTACGTTTACGAGATTTCATCACAAAGGTTTCGATTTTATTGCTTAACTTAGCCATAAACCAGATGATTGACAAATGAATTAATGAAAGTCATGTCTACTCCTTTATAAAACTGATATTAATTCATGTGCCCATAAAACCTGATAATAAACAAGATAGTTGCTGGATGATTCTAGTTCACATTTCAATAAATCAATAATCAGGTAACCAATTATTTGATTAAAATAAAGCATAATAAACTTACAATTTGCCTTTTACATCATTAACCTTGATTGTTAGTTCATTGATCTGATTATAAATGAACAAATAAAAAGATCAATTATTGATAGCAAAGTTTTAGTTAATAAGTGAACAACTTTATTTTGATTGGAATTCAATTGAACAACAACAAACAACATTATAATTCGAAAATAAAGGAAATCTTTTCAATGTTGTCGTAACAACCACTTTCGGGCTTTTTATCTTTTGTTTGAAAAGTAGCTAAATTAGTACATATCTACTTACAAGTGAGTTATATATATTTCAATAGTTGTGATCATGAGTCTATTCAAGTTAGACCAAAATTGAGGTTAAGCGTTTGCTTTTGAAACTGAAAGTTTAAATTTCGAGTCCCGTGTGTGGGATTTTGGACGCACACTGTCGAAGAGTTACTTCTAACAAGAACTAATAACTTACAAGATATATGATAATTAAACACTAAACATTCATTAGTATCTAATATTAATTTGAAAACTACACCACTACTATCTTTTGTATTGAAATGTAGTATTCAAATCAATTGTAACAGATCAAAAAGGTTTAAACTTTCAATGTAAACTATTACCTTCTTCATATGGAATTCAACTTTGATTAAGTGCGATATTTATCATTTTGTTAAAAGTATTGAGACATGGATTGTTTCCATTTATTTATATTATTTATTAGTAGATGTCATATGAAACTTTTAAGAATTTCATGCTAAAAATATCAAATAAGCTGCTGAGGAGTTATATACCAGTATGATGAACAAGAACACAAGTGGAGACAATCGAATATATTTGAACACAATATCATAGAACATCTTACTAAAATCTGAGAACCATACAGTAAGTACTTCATTTGCAAAATGTCAGTCATTTGTTTCAAACTTGACTGTTCCTCATGCAAATATTAGTCAATCGTCTCAAACTTTGTTGTTCTTTAGTTTCCATATTGTTTTTTGTTCTCGTTCTCTTTTCTTTGATCTTCTTAACCTTCTGCCTCCAGGTATTTCACTTTTGATTGATGATACATATTACTTCTATTTGTCAACATCAACATCACACACCATACCTGGATGAAATTACTATTCAATATTCCCTTAAGTTTTCAATGATTATTTTATCATCAATCGTTAAAGTATGACATATTGCCGAAATTTATTGGAATAATTAAACTAAAAATAAAAATCACCTCAAAATCTTGACGTCTTAACTTTTCTTCCCAATCGTATTTATCACCTTCGAGTTGTCGAACACGTTCGTACAACTGTTTCACTTTAGCATTTAAATCGTCTGTTAAAGAAAGCGATTGAATTTAAAAGTTATACAAATGTTATATAATGCATAATAATAATAATAATGATTATGGTATATGATTGTCATAATATATAAAGATTACATATATTCTTTTCTTTTTGTTTAAATCATTGAAATAAACTGATAAAATCTAAGTACCTAAAAATAATATTCAGATTTTCAACGAATATTAGATACATTTAACGGACAAGTCACCAACTGACGCTCGTAAGTGGAAAGTACACATAGAATGAAACCATCATTGTTAATTGTTTTACGATAACATGTAAACAGATATGGAATTGATGTTATGCAATGAACAAAAAGCAGATAACAGTTAGCAATACAAAATATCTAGAATAATTGATCGATGGTTAGAAGTTAGTTGACTATTCTTTTATATAAGACATCAGTGATCGTAGAAGAGTTGAACAACTAGATCAACCTGCTAAGAAAGTAGATTTGCGCTAAGGATAACTTCTTATAACAGTGGCTGCAACCACGTGACTAGTCAGTGCAGACATCTCGACTATATACTTAACCGGTAAATAGTTTTCTAATTGGTCGAAAAGCAGCTAGAAAAATTCTATGTTTACCATGTACAAAAACAGATAACAGTTGTTGATCTACTTACTTTCACCAAGACCATCAAGTTTCAATGGCTCTACTTTTCCACGTAAAAAGTTCTCACGTTCTTCCTGTCGGCGTTTCATCTCAGCTTTCATTTCATCAGCAGCTTTTTGCATAATCAGTTGCTGAAATAGATGATTTTATTAAAAATATTATCATGCTTGACCAGTTGATTATAAATTGTTCACAGTTTTTTTAATGAGTTTTTTCATTAACCTCCTTTACTATGTGTACTGTCATGACCAAGTAACAGATTAGTATTTGCAATGCGTAATGACTTAAGTTGGCTTAAAGACTAGAGTCCTGATGCGGCCCACCATTTTTACTTTGCTACTGTTGATGTACATGAAATAAGTAACTTAAATTCTACTCTAAAGAACGATTATACGAATAAGCTTTCAGTACACCTAACTTTAGTAAATCTGTTAAGTTAATTCGAATAATTTCGATGAGACTATACTCTCTGAACGAACCAATCAGATTTAGTATAACATGTCTTAGATTTGGAAGCAAAATTCATTCATTCATTTGTCTAAATAGCGTTTTAGCATTTCAGCCAATGTCTATTCGTGATGAAAATCCTAAATGTAATTCCTAACCATCAACTGTAAATCATAATCTTTATTCTTATTAACACAGGCTTATAACCCTTATTTAGCTCTAGTAACTTGGTGGACCTTCTCAAGGTCACTTCAGAGTCGCTCAAAGGTCGTCCATAAATGATATTTTCACTCATGAAATTAAAAAATTAAAAAAAATGTATGAACCAATCTTAGTAGTCTGATTGCATTCTACCCTATTTAAGTTAGAAATTTTCCCGGTTTGACGTTGTATCAATATATTGACTAAATGTAGTTACATTTTGTAAATTATCTTTATGCCTATTATTACAATCAGAACTGATATTTATATTTTCTCCATACTAACATTTATCAAGTCATAGTTGTATTTTAATAGATGGAATAGTTTAATGTTGACTATCCTTAGGAATTTCTATTTTGTAATTCTAAATAAACGAATCAAAGAAGATTAATATCAACAACAAAACAGTTTAAAGCTGCTTAAAGTGTAAATTTATCTTATTATCATGTGAAATCAGTTGATAAGCAAATGCATTCGCCCATTTTCTATTCGACTTAAGGAAATCCAAAACAGTTGTTACTATAATTCTATTCTTTTTATGATCCTTCTATGTTAGATATAGTTAAATTATGAATGTATGGTATGTGGATAATCCTAAATTGTTCATTGATCAGAAAAACTAAGATGAAAGTGGAATGGTTAAAAGAACTAACTTGAATTATTGATGTTTTTTGTTGGATCAATGGAGAGAAAAAAGAAAGTTAACTGCTATATGAATATCTTGAATAATTTTGGGATGTTGTAGTGTCGGCTATTATGTTAAGCCCATATATCTTATTCTAGCTTCCGGACAGGCTAATCTATTCATTCTAATTGAGTCACCTTTTGACCATGTCAATTATCCGTTTATCAATGTTGACTGTTTTTATATGAGCGCATATGTACGTGTGTGTACATTTCTTACCCATTCATTATATGTCCTGTAACTTATTTTTGTGTGACTATAAACACTGATTAACGCTTGAATAAATGGAGTTGGCTTATCCGCCATCTCTACTGAGCGTCGTTTTACTTCGCTCTATTCCATTTGCTTCATATACAAAATATATGTATTCAAAAATTCGATTCTTGCGATTTGACTTATGTAATTCCGTTATTGACTAACGTGATTTGAGTTCATGATTATATACAAGGATAGGCGACATATAGATTCAATAACAATCATTCATACGAATAAATTGGAGTCAGATCTTGGACCACTAAAGTGGAAAGCCCGTCAACAAACATCGTCCGATCTAAATGATGGCGAAATAAAGGGCCTCAATAAAATGTAGAACCCTATATATCTAGGTGTTTATTAATATTTTACAAAACAAAAGATAAAATGGAGGGAGTAAATACACATCGTACTGAACTACATGGATGGTAGAAATGATTGTTTTACAATTAAAAGTCATTAAGTATTTGCATGTTATAATAAAAATCTGTGAAACATTACTCAAACTAATAAAGGTAAGTGAACTGTCCTACCAGTTAAATAATAATCAAAGTGAACTAATACCTTTAAATTCTATGTTCTGAGTGGGTTAATAAATTATTTATCATGAAAAGTGGGTTCCTTTTAGCATCGCGAGTAAATGGTAAATATTCAGTATGGTAGTAGGAGGGTTTATTAGCAACTATAAAGTTTATGCAAATACTGATAAATATTATAAGATAAAAGGCTAATGTATCTAAAACAGTAATATGAAAGAGTGTAGAACAGTCCCATAAATATAATATAATTAAATGGGATTTCTTAAAAATTTAGGACACTTACTTTACAAAAGACTATTTTCCCAAAGATAAGATCTTGCTAACATAATCTTAAACACGACAATAGGTACTACAATAAGTACTAGACTTGAATGATGAGCCTGCAGGAGCGCCGACCTCCACAGATCTATTGACCGGCTGAGCCATCTTAATCCAAGGTTCGTCAAACATTCAAAACGCCCCACGTTCCCACATCATTGACAGAGACCGCTACACCCAATGCCGTCTCGCTAAACCACCTCGCTGGACCTCTCCTGTCCTACCTAGACCAGTCGAATCAGTGCCTAATTTCTGGCCCCGCAGTGTCGTTTGCATAACTGCCTCCATGCCTGGCAGCGACAAATTTAAATCACGTAAGTAGGCAGGAAGTATGTATACTGATTACAAGAAGTTAAACAGTAATTGCATAATACATTTACATAGCCTTCAATAGTCCATTTTAATCTGAACTGAACTTTAAGTGTTCTGTCAACTCTGTACTCTTAATGGACTGGAACTCTCCATTCTATTCGTCAACTGTTGCACCTTAGACTCCACTTTCCGCTATACTTTAGTTACAAACATCCTTGTGAGTGGCGTCCACTGCAATAGTACCGTTTGATATCCTCAGAAATCATTATTTGTGGTATTCTAAACTACTAAGGGTTTTCATCAATTAATTATCTAAATGAAGCTTGAGCAATTATTAAATAGATTTAGTACTTCATATATAAATAAATTTTGAAGCGGTTTGTGATGGATGAGATCAATGAGTATCATAAATCAGATAAATATTATGTTGATACACATAATTAATCACATCTATAAAAACCAGGCCACTCTGTTGGTTACATTAAAAAATTATAGCTCACTTGCATAAAAACATTGGAGTTATTCGAAATATTGGTATGATTAACTCACTTTCAACAGTCGTTTCTTCTCTTTCGACAAACCACCTAAACCTTTACGCTTCTGACCAGGTTTACGTTGTTTCTTCGAGGCTTCTTCAGCTTCTTTACGTTTCTTCTCCTTTTTTATGATGTTATGAACAGTAGTTAAACAAGGTAGAAATTGAAAACAAAATGTAATTAAACACAGTTAATTATTTTTACTACGGATAAGTGTTGAAAAAACTTCAAACGAGCGCTTTTTTTGAATTTTTCATTCCATTCAAATTGAAAGCACCTGTTTGTCATCAATCAGAAAAAGAAATATTCTATTCTGCTGTTTGTGTTAGGCGTAAACATGCAAGCATGTTAAATTAACTTACTATCATTTCTTTAACATAAAAGCATATGTAATCAGTAGGTAGATTAGCAAAAATAAAGCATTAAACTCAGAAGTTAGCAGGTTAGCTAAAACAAAATATATATCAAACCTAACTATTACACTGTAAAAGAATGAAGGAACAGAATTAGACCAATATCTATCTCTTGGTAACTTGATGAAGATTTCAAAATGTTATTATGCATTATTTTAATGAAGTGCAAAGGTTTTACATGCTAAATGACTTAAATGTTGTAGTATTAAGGATAAAGGTTGGTAAGTTAATCCGTTGGACTATATTGCACACTTCATCATGAACAATTCCATGAAAAGTTAAAATGTAGTGCGACTCCATACTTATAAACTTGAAATATGACTTAACTTTATTGTTACGTTACAGTTTTATTGAAGTTATACTAAGTTAGGTTTCTTAAAAAACAATTTATAACTGTTTACCAAACGATGTGTTAAATGAATTAAACCCTAATCATATTTTCTAGTAATGTTTTCTACTAAATGTTTAATTCTCAAAAGTTATATTGTTGATTAGCAGATAAGAGAATTGTGGAGATGGTTACTAATTTTTTTTACTTTTCACATGAATAATTCAAGTTATTGGATGAATAAAGTTGATCATTTCGGATTAATTCAAAATGGAGTTAAAACTGATATTGTTTATTTTGTCAGTGCGGCGAGACTCTAATTTATGGACGAACCAATCAGAGGCGTATTAGAGATTTCAAGATCACAGCGCCAACTTCAGTGCTTAATGCTAATGTACGATCGGTTCACGGGGGTTTTTATGCAAAATATGATAATTGAGCGGCTGTGACAAATAAAACGGCGAGACTATAATTTGTGGACGAACCAATCAGTATAAGATAATACATCTCGGATTTTGGGGCAAAATTCACTCACCCATTTGGCTAAACAGAGTTTTGGCATTTAAGCTGATGTCAGTTCTTGATGTAAACCCAATATATAATCCCTAACTAAGGCAAATTACGACAATTATTGCGAACTGGATAATAAAAGCACCAGTAACACGCTGCAGTCAGGTACTACAATATATACAATGTTTGGAGAGTGTACAGACTACTACATAGGCTTGGTTATGTGCATCGTGTCGTCGTCCACAAGTAGCATTTTTTGCACTCAACAACCGGAGTGCACATAAACAATATTGAAGCTATGTGGTTGAGGCTGAAAGAGTTTTTGAGACTTTGTCATGGCTTAAGAGGCCGACTATTCTGTAGCCGTATGGATGATTTCCTCTACTGCATTCATTACGATTTTAGATCCTCTGAACCTCTCCCTAACCTTGACAAGTTTTTGAACCAAGTATAAGAAGTGTTTCCACTTTATTTCCTTGGTTTTGTATAATATATTTTTACTCTATACTGGGTGTTTGCTAATTGGCTAATATTTCTCGAGGTCATTTAAGATTCGTTCAAGGTTCGTCCATAAATTAGAGTCTCGCCGTCAGTGCTTGATAGTTAAAGTGTTCTTTCTTAGGGAATATTCTAAAATGATATTATCGAATTTTGTTTGAAAACAATCACCAACCATGAAAATAACTCACCATTAAGTGTTAAACAATGAATTGTCCAAAATAATACAGTTAGAAAATATATTAAACAGAACTCATAAAATAGTACTTAACAAAAGAAAAGGTCTTCATGATCATCTATCTAGTGTACATTTTTCCCATTTTTAACACTCTAATTCTAGAAATAGGATGAATTCATCAATCACTATTTACACATATATACAAATATTATGAATACAGATTTCTGTTAATTTGGACTGAACTACATAAACAATCCATATCTTCATGATCTGATGATAGTCATTATGTAAACACTTCAATAAGGGTCTTAAACTATAACACTATAGAAAAATATACCCATATATATGTTAAGTAGTTATCTTGTGTTTAGTCTGAATAAAACGTTATGAGGTAGAGGCAAAAAAAAAGAGAAAATAGCATAGAACCCAGGTATTTAGTAATGTGTTTCAACTTTTTTTTGTTGTTGATTCAACAATATTTATCTTCCATGCGTTCGTTTTCTTTTTATCGCAATAAAAAAGAGAAACAGTTTAATGAGGAAAAGAAAAAAAGAAGAAAAGAATGAAATCATGTGATCACAAACGAGCGTGAATCACACACAATAAAGCAAATAAAAAAAATATCAAGTTTAGGAGAAATGAAAAGCAATAAATAAAGCATAGATTATTCATTAGCGCTAGTTTCAAATGAAATACATTCTATTTTATTAATTCACAAATCTATCCTTTGTGTTGCCATGATTACAGAAAGCTATCTAGTGCACAAAAGCCATTTGAATTCAATCACATTAAATAGATAGCAAGATTAAAATAAAAAAAGACAAAGTGAATAATGGCTAACAAAATTTTGGTTAAATTATGAATTGTAAAATTAAAAAAATCTAATCAACTGAGATTTGAATGGTTCTCACTTTTATACTTTTTCTTTTCATTATAGTACAATGTAACTCAAAGAGATTATTTTTCATTGAAATGATCATTGATAAGTACCTTTAACATATTCAATCAATGATAAGACAATATCATCACTTTGTTATGAAATGATCTGAATGATTTTTTCAGGAGGGGGGAGGATAAACTAATGTACTTGATGCATTGAAGTACTAAAATGTACTTGATAAATATCTTTGAGATACATTGTAACTTCAATCTATTCATTATTATTATCATCATTCAAATTAAACATGCCAAGCAAAACATTATCAGTTCAATTTATTCGTGCATTTTAATTAATTAATTGATTAATTTATTTTTTGTTAATATTTGTTAGACTAATTATTGAAATATTTAATTAAATTAAAGTCTTGACAACAAGTTAGAACACCCCTTTAGAAAGATTTATATTAAATAATAATTAACTTTGCTTAAAATAAATATAATTTAATTTGTAAAATATTAATAAATAGATGAATAGATGAATTAGTAAGTGAATGAGTCTTTGAGTAAGTCAGTGAGTGAGTGAGTGAGTGAGTGAGTGAGTGAGTAACGAAGTGAGTGAGTAATTAGTTAGTGAAGTGAATAAATAAAGAATCATTTTGGGATTAGTGAATGAAACAATGGATACTATTAGAAATATGTGACTAGTAAGAAAAATAGTTCATTTCATTTATCTTTTTATTTTCATTGATGTTTGTTTTATGTTAAAAATATTTCTAACCTCTAGTTTACGCTGTCTTTCTTGAGCTACCTAAATTTATAAATAATAGAATAGAATAAATGAGATATATGCAAAAAAACCAAAAACAGTCAAAAAACAACAACAACAACACATCAATAAGAAGAGACGATCAGTGAACATCTTAATATACAGATACATATTTCATAAACCGTATAATCGCTACTATTATTTGTTTATTGAGATATTAGTTTCAGCTTTTCATTATAATATCCATGCTGAAATGAGATATTTGAATGTATATTCAATTGAACTGTCAACATGCAGTGAATATTATTATATACGATTATTATTATTATTACATGCATTTAAAATAAATACCTATTAATCATTGTTTATTAATTCTGATAGAACATATAGACTAGCTAACAAATACCTTCACATTTATGTGTACTTTTTTTATAATATCTAAGTGGAATAGCATTCATAGATCCAGCTGGACATGAAGTCAAGCAAGCTATATGTATACATATATAAGAAATCTACATTTAGATAAACTGACTATGACATGCTTATGAGACATTAACGTATTTAAAACATTCATATGGTCAATATTCTATTTAAGATATTCACATATATTTATTGAATTTACGAAAAGTTCTCCTGAGATAAATGTTTTAATATTCACTATTGTTTCTTCATTTATCATTGTTGTTATGTATATGTTTGTAATGTATTCAATTAAGATTGAAAACTTATATAAAAATATCCTATGAAGAAATTTTAATAAAACATTATATCATAAAGTAATCATTGATTTTCAATAATGTAGTAAACATAATAAAAACTATCTTATTTCATACATACCTCTTCCTCTCTGCGTCGACGTTCTTCTTCCTACAAAATAGACGATGTAAGAAATGAGGGAAAGTGTATTAATTTTCTCTTCTGATTGCCACATCATTGGAATATATATATATATTGGATAAGTCAATTTACGTTTTAAACAGCCATTATAACTAAGTTGTTTAGATTTACTGAAAGATTCAAATATTATTGTTTTCACTGTTATCAATACTACTAAACATTGCTAATCAAGTAAACATAAGTAGTTGAACATTTATGGATTCCTTCTATCTAGTACTGTGATTCAGATACTGATACATTCTTTTCTAATCTAAACTTTAGTAGTTAATAAATTAAAAGCACTTACTGTAAAAGAATGAATTTGCTTGTAAATAAATCTATTACGTTTACTTGGGAATTTAAATAAATTAAGACTTATAATACTTAGTGAACTAGCTCTAATATGTGTACGAAACCAATGTTTATCTTTTATTATACTTATTAAAATAATCAATTGAACAGGAGCGTTTTGTTTTAAAAAAATGCCATCGCATTTGGCAAAAATATTTTGTCCAAATAGGGTTGTTTGTTTGAAATGCTGTTGTCAGTACAAGTTGTTTACCTATTATCTCGCTTTTTTTTAGAAAAGAAAGACTATAAACAGTCACATGTATACACAAGTAAAAAATAATAAACAACCATCATTTTAAACAAAATTAAAAACAATCCAAATAACATCATCATAAAACTACAACAAAAAGGACAAACGGCAAAACAAGCAAAAAGAATAATAAAAAGAAAGAGGTTTTAACCAAGACACAAATGTATGTGCAGTACTTTCATAATTTCAGGAATTCTTCAGATGTTATTCTGTGTAGAACGCCAACATAGAATTAAAAGAATTTGTCTGGATGATTGCCTTGTCAAATTTAAAGTAAACTGAAGCTAGTGAAATGAACTATTTTATCTGAAGAAAAAGCGCTCACCGTCATTTAACAACTTGCTACTATGAAATAACAACTTAAAACAAACCAGTTTTCTGGTGCTTTCTAGTGGTTTTTTTATTTTTATGATGAGAAAACTGTTTAATCAGATAATGTGTAAAGATATTTGTCTATACCAACCAGTGCTAGACAAAGAACTACTTAATATTCCCAGTACATTGAATAACCCTATTTTTCTTCAGCAGTGTATTCTCTATCTTTAATGAGTATAACCTGATATTATTTTTAACGCAATCGATATGTTAATACAAATCTAGTGAGTCGTTTTCTAAAATAATCTCATCTTCGCATTAGGAATTTCGAAGACTCATTATATCAACATTGTAACTTGTGAATCCGTAATAAAGAAAACTGGCATTTGTCCAGTATTGCTACACTTTTAATCATTGCTTATATAATATTAACTATTGATAAATGGATACATTCTATTAATCTACATTTAATAAACTAAAAATCAAAATCATAAAACATCAAACTACAATTACTATAGATAAGCTAAAACTGTTTACCTCTGAATCTGTTTCAGAAGATGACTAAATTAAGTTGAATGAAAAATATTCTAATTATATTTCTGCAATTAATGTTAGTTCGAATTTTCTGATTGAGATCATGAATTTGTTTTTTAAATCAGACTAATATTTCTTAAAAAAAAGCAACATAAAAATATGTTTCAATAGTTGAGATCATGAGTCAACTGGAGCTAGACCATCATGAAAAGCCTAGCAGCATTAGACGGTCGTTTCGTCCTATTTCTGGGACTCCTCAGCAGTGCACATCTACGATCCCGTCTGGTGAGATTCAAACCCAAGACCTACAATAGAATGAAATTACTGTCTAGTGCTTCAAGGTTTTCCATGGTAAGTCTAGCTTCAATTAACTCGTGATCTCAACTTTATCTTCATTAAAAACCCCTCTCATAAAAATATATATATTGGATTTAGTGCATACTTTTCCCAATGTTTAACAATTCATTTAAATCATGACATTATTCTTAAGATCAGATTCATAAAGTACCAGGTCAATTATTTAGATTACTACTACTATTGGATTTGACCTTAACAGCTCAAAGTTTATATTTCATGCATAAGTATGTCGGTCTTGTTTACGTTTTGTTTGTTTTGTTTTGTTCCACTTAATGGTTGTATCCATATGAAACTTGTTGTGTGAGTACAAGTTTAAACTCAAATGTTACATGATTTATCTTACTACAAAATTGAAACATTTCTAAGCTAAGTAACTGAAATGAACGTATTATATTGTATTGTAATGTTATCATAAATATTGTCCAGATACAAAATCTTATTGATTATCTACTCAAAGTTCTTTCTCGCTTATTTATTAATTAATTGGCTTTCATATTCATAGAATCTTTAATTTATGGAAAAACCAATTGTATTCTTCTTTTTATGTTATGTAATTATAATTTAAGTGTTGATTACATTTAATAAACTCAAATCAATGTTGATTTTCCTTTTATATTTCATTATGAAACACAAGACATTTCATTTTCACAATGAAGTAAATAGATATTTGTAATTATTTCATGATTATTTGTTTGAATATTTAACAAAAAAAAAGATATCATTTGTTCAAAAAAAAATAGGCGCCATAAGATTTAACAAACTATAATACCCAATTAAGGGTTCACAAAGTTTGAATAAGTATAACAAACAAATAACTTGTTGAAATAAAATCATTTTATGTTTTGATGCTTTCATTTTGAACAAAAAGAAACAATACTGGAAGTAAACGTATGCGAATATTATAGCTTACAATACTGAAGATATATATATATATAGTTTCTTAGTTTATAAAAGAAATTTATCTATTTATTTATTTTATGACATAGATATTGGTACAAGGAGGCACCAAATACATATGCGACACACAAATCTCATTTGATATTTGTGAGGGCTGTGATGCTGCCTTGGTGCCCAAACCGAAGCAGGTGGTTTTCTTAAGAGGCCATACTCGGACCCTTCGACTTGAAGGTCTGGCCCACAAGGCAGTGGAGCCGGTGGCCAACAATTGGTTTATACACCATTTGTTCCTTCATGATACTGAAGCCCATGTGCACCATTGGTTTTGGAGTCAGGGTTTCCCAACTCCCCTAGGTGGACTCTCCATATCCACCAACCCGGTGAAAGCACCGGACTTTCGCTTTGTGTCTTCTCAATTTCGTAAACAACACCTCGTTACGAGAAAGTAGCGAGTAGGACTTCCCTGTCAGAGGCTATATACGCGTGACCATTTTCTACAATAATTTTCTCGATATCTGATTAATATATCAATAACATGTAAATGTATACGTCATTGTTGATAAAATGATTTTTCATCGTATTCAATCATCGTTATACCATGAAATTTCATATGATCTATCATTATTTGATTATTTAATCTTTATTTATATATGCATATATTCTACTACTGGAAAAAATGATCTTACATTTGAATAAATTGACTTCTATAGATAACAAATGATTTCCTTATACATTTCATAATACACATAACACAATATAAAACAGTTTAATTAATTGAATATTTCAAAGTTTTTAACATTCAAGAAAAATATCGAGTCATACCTTTTCCCTTTTTTCTTTCTCAGTCTCCTGTAAAAGTAGAAAATCAAAGAAAAAACTAATTACAGTTCGATTCAATAAACGGTTACTACACTAAATTTGGCATATATATGTATATATATATAAGGATGTGCCAATAGCATTATATTATATAACGAAGCTAAATATTAACATCTATAAGCACATCAGTATCCACACACACACACACATTAGATTTGAACATGCTTTACGATTAATGTGAACATTTACGGAAAAATTATAAAGATATTTTGCATTAGTTATTTTTTGATAAATAAAACAAATCAGATATACTAAATGAACATGCGCTATAGTGATAAACGTGCTAATTATAATTCCTTTTTAATTAGACAAAGCATATATATCTATAATTGTTTTATTGGATATATGGATAAAGCAGTAAATTATACTGAATTGCTTGATAATATTTTCCTCTAACTTAGTATTGTGTATTTTATTTTATTGTAACCAAGTAATCTGATTTTCAATTAAGTTTTAGATAAAATGAGTTAAGTAAGAAGTAATTTCTCTATCAGCCAACTTATTCTGGAATATTCAACGGGATTGGTAGGAATCCAGTGCTTTCATCATTAAGTCATAGTTTGAAATAATAGAATTGCCGATTATTGATGTCATGAGTTTTTGTTTTACATTATAATTTTCTAATCACTTAAAACTATAATATGAAAAGAATTATAATAAACAATGAATACAAATTCACTTGGTGTTGTTTTATTTGTATAACAATGGGAAGGTACAAGTAAAATAAAACCAAGTGAATTTAAACTTCACCCCATTGCACAAGCAGGTGACTATCAAGATTTAGTAGCTAAGTTGATAACTCGATAGCGTTTGAAGCGAGCAACACTGGGTTTGAGTTTCAGACTGAACATCAACTCTGAGATGCAGATACATCCAGCTGACGAGTCTCAAATAAGACGAAACGTGCATCAAACTGGATTCTACTGCCATCCACTATCTTTGCTTAGAAACAATAATTACAGTTTTAAATATCTTAGAAATATCTAAATACCTTGATTGCTTATGTTTCACGTTTGATTGTGTTTATAAATTACATCAGATAAATATTTTTAATCATTAATTAATTTCTTTAACTATGCAATTGTATTGTCTATGATCTATTTAGTGTTACTTATGTTAATCTATGTATTTTCTTTATCTTTACTAAAATGATTTGTATAATAGATAAGTGTTTAAGTTTATTGAGGCATATTTAAATAATTTTTTAATGATTTCAATGAATACATTATCAAATTTATACAACAAAGAGAAAAGGAAAAATAACTTCTGAATATAATGTACTTTAAGTTATCAAACTTCAACTAAGAATTCATTTAGTATAACTGTATAATCATGACAGAAAATTGAAATCAGAAAGGTTATGTGGAGATTTTAGAAATTTCACAAATTGAAATCATGAGTCAATTGAAGCCAAACCACCATGGAGAACCTTGAAGCACTGTACGGCCGTTTTGTCCTAGTATGGGACTCCTCAGCAGTGCGCATCCATGATCCCCCACCTCGCGAGATTCGATCCCAGGGCCTATCAGTCTCACGTCAAGCGCTTGAGCAACTAGACCACTGACACGGCCGGAATCCAATGGTGTTAATGTCTAACTTCAGCCAATCCAAGAAGTTGCGCTACAGTATACCATTGTCTTCAGTGAGCTGATATCTCACAACAGACCTGGTTGAACTCCACTGGTAACGACTTCTCACTAGAACTCCCATACTAGGACGAAACGGCCGTCCAGTGCTTCCAGGTTTTCCATGGTGGTCTAGCTTCACTTGACTCATGATTTCAATCTGAGAAAATTAAAAGCTTGCTATTATATTATATAGCTTTACTACTAAACAAAAGACAAATAACAGTCTAAGTAAAAGCGTCTACATAAACTAAAAACAACCCACTTTAAATAACATGCAATTACATTAACCAAAATAAATTAATTGTAAACATCTATAGTCATATCTAGATAGTTATGATTAATATATCTCTCAATTCCAAGGTAGTGCACTAAATAATCTAATACAATTTACTTCGTATAGGATATACATAATAATAATGACAACAACAACAACAACAAAAATACATCTATGCATTATAGTATAGGCGTGAATGTGTGTATGTATGTATGTATATTTTTTTCAATTTTGATGCGTTTATATATTAAACGTCGAAGTGCCCACCTCTTCAGACTCTTCCTCAGACTATAATAGTCATGTTGTGTTGAATTATAACAGATCATTATGAAATCACATGGAATCATACAATAAAACAAGGATAAATAAAAGTTATCATTAAAAAGCAAAAAAAATTATTTGTAAAATTAGACTTGAAATAAATCAATTAATTTTATTATTTCAGTGGAATATGCAGAATAGGTAACTTTACAGTGATTTTTCGGTACATTTTCATTATCGTACAGTACTGTTCCGTGAATTAATTAATTTCTTACGAGAGTTATTGACTAGACCATGAATTTTCGGTTTTTATTTGATGAAACGCTTTTGTACTACTTAAATAATTACACGTAGTATAAACAATGTAAATGAAATTTCAGTGGATGTTATAAAGCATGGTCAATAAGTTGATAAACCTAGTTAATTGACAACTGATTAAATTCAGATTTCTATCTGTCAATGTAATAAGCTTAAATAAAATCAACTATTCGCTCTGTACCAGAGTGCTTATACATATTTTTAATACGATATATGAGATAAGGAAAGTAATGAGTAACTTACTTCTTCCGATGAACTGAAAAAATAAAATACAGAATTCAAATTCAACAAGTTATTGCTTATTCATCAAACAACTAAACATATTCATATAAACAAACGTTATTTTTCTGCTTTCGAACCCATATGTCTATGTAATCTGTATGCGCTACATTATGTGTCATATTTTATGTTTTTTTGTCTTTCATCATGAATGAATAAACAAATTAAGAAATAATATTAATTAATTAGATTTACTATTTTAAATCTTTTCAATCGAGATAGACTGAATTTTGTATTGCTCTAACCTGAAACTCTTCAAGAATGATTACCTGCAACCATACATGATGTCAAAGCTAAGACATTCAAGTCTCGTCTGTGTTTAATTACATTTCGAGCATTAAGATATGATGCAATGGAGCATATGTTCAAATTCAGTCAATTTATGATACATCGACATCCCTATTTGGTTAACTCTAGTATTTTAATCAATAATGAATAAATTACTATTATTAAGTTCAATATGGTAGAATAATTCATGGGACAAGCTTGACTGTATTCATGTTATGTTGAAAATCAAGTGAAATTGAAAATGTTGTTTATTATCTTTCAACTTGGTATCTCAATGATACTTTTTTTGGTATATAACCTGAATAAAAAGGCTTGACTTTAATGGATACAAAAGCGACACATAGCTGACAAGCTTTCCGATATGATGAAAGAGTTATGTAGTGTTGTAGATTAGAAATTCTCATGACAATATACATTTAATATGATAAGCGAATCAACGAAAAAGGTTATAGATATCACTTTTCAATAATCAAGAGCATAACTGTGATAAATAGAATATTTAAGCAGCCTATTTTCCGTTTCAAGGAGAATTAATTGATTAAATTAGATTCGTATATATATGTGATAGAATTATTTATGTGATGAACATCTTTAACACTTCTCGAATCCCACATGAAGTATCAGCTACCTCAAATTGATACTTTACTGATGAATGATATCTCACACGAAACGTCAATCCAGAGGTTCTTATCAAATACCTCCAACCATCCAACTGTTATCACTTTTTTGTAGGTAAAATGTCAATTTCTTAGTCCAAACTTTGTTTTACAGAGTTCAACTAAAGATAAACCATATCACATAAGTTTGTGTATTAACATAGATTTTTCGCTTAGCAGCCTTCATGGGCAGTTATTTTGCTACTATATAAATATGTAAATAATAATGCTAAACTGTTGTTTATGATTAACTGACCAAATTGCTATTAGTTTCATGACTAAAATCATCAGAATTCAGTAAAAGGCATATATCACGCTATGCATATATCTACACTTCTATTGTACAGCAAAATCATAAATTCGAAAATTCCTTTTATATATACAGTATACAACCAAAGATTTGATAATCATGGACAATATAAAACTCACCTTTGTTGGCTTTCTTCGTCACTCATTTTGTTGTAATGTTAGAATTGAGTGTAGTACGTTAGAAGAAGCTGTAATTAGGAAAACGGTAGTTATTATTATTATTATTATTATTAAAAATCCTTTAGGAATATGACAATATATTGTTTATAATTGGAAAAGTTCTATTTGTCTCACTAACCAAGTAAAGGTGAAGTTAAATTTTGTGTTTGATTACTTACGAAATGTGTAAATAAGATTAAATATCAAGTTGTTTGTGTTAATTTCAATGATTATGTAGGCGTATTGGTTAAATGTACATGGTTACATTTCAATAAATTTATCGAACAAATTTAAGGGCATCATAAGTAAACCAATCTAAATTCTTATCATAATTTTCCATTACTTCCCTTCAACATTAATCTGACGTAAGGTTGATATATACAATATGTGTATGTTTATCTATATTTTCACTATTTAGCCTTCCAATCGATTTATCTCACATTTGTGTTAGGAATAAAAAATTACTCTTCCTTCTTCATAGTTTATCCAATAGAATACAAGTAACGAATATACAATTACTTCGATTCTCTATCCTTTAACCTTCTTTTCATTATGGGCACATTGTATCATAATAATTTGGCTAAGGACAGAAAGTTAGGTGTTTTTGTGTTGAATATATACAATTTGGAATGCCTTAACTAACATTTAGTTAGTCCAGGTAAAAATATATATCACAAATTGCAAGAACGTTTCATTCCCAAACTTTCTTTACTTATAAAGAAGAAAAGAAATCAATTTAGTAGGGTGTATTCGAAGACTAATTCTAAAAAAGAAATGCGTACGAGACTTTCTATTGTTGGACTGTGTTTTTTTTCATGATTGCGTAAGACTAAAGCAAAGTGTTTAAATAATTTAAAGAAAATTAGGCATGAATGTAATTGTGAAGTCAGCTGAATTGAAGTTACCACAAATCATCTTTACGCATTCTTTCAGTTAATGTTAATCTATATCAGAAGGGTTTTTGTGGATATTATAGTGATTTCAATAGTTGAGATCATGAGTCAATTGAAGTTAGACCACAACTGGATGGCCGTTTCGTCTTATTGTGGGACTCTTCAGCAGTGCGCATTTACGACCCCGCCTTGCGAGATTCGAACCCATGAGTCAATTGACTCATGATCTCAACCATTGAAATTAATGTTAATGTACTGAAAAGTAAAATGAAATGTGATTCAGTGTTTTTTCTTGAAAAACAATCATCTAACTTTCTTTAAATACAAATAGGCGATAGCTTATCTAATCAAATGTTTTGTTTTGTAATCTAGTCCCAATGATTGCATCATAATAAAGGTTTGATAGTTATACTTATAAGTGAAGTTATAATATCTACTTATGAGTAGAATATAATCATATTTCATGTTGTATTAATTTTCTTGGTAAAACTTCAACATCAAACTCATCAATTTAAACATTTTAGGTTTATCCATTAAATTACTGATTGATTCTGTAATAGTTAAATTATTTGAACTGTTTCATAATATTAAGCAAGAGAATTTCTTTTAGCTAGGTATTTTTCAGGAAAATTGTTAGTAAATGAACTTTACTAGTCGACATCATGAGTCAATTGAAGCTAGACCACTATGGAAAACTTGTAAACACTGGAAAGTCGTTTCGTCCTAGTAAGAGACTCCTTAGCAGTACGCATTCATGACGCCGCCTCGAGAGGTTCGAACCCAGGACCTGTCAGTCTTGCGCAAGAGCGATTAACCACTAGACCACTGAGCTGGCTGGCATCCATCGGTGTTAATGTCTAACTTCAAGTAATCAACGAAATTGAGCGAAACATCCACCATAGTCATCAATGAGTTACTATATCATAACTGACCCAGTTGAACTTTAATTAATCATAGTTTGTAAATGTTTTACTGTACTACTGTATTGTCACTTTTGACAAAATCAATATATCTATGTTCATTCTTATAAAGTAGGTAAAATATTCTTGTCTTTTAGAAACTACAAGTTTTTTTATAATTGTTTTACAAAGTATGCTAAGTATCAGTTTTATTAATAGGACTATTTTACAAGAGATTGATACAAGATTCACTTGGTATTGTTTGACTTGTATCCTCCCATTGAGTTTTTTTAAGACTGCAATTGATCATTCTGTTATCGACATACGTGTATACTGTGCGTATGCCTCGATATTACCTTAATTCACAAGCTTTTTGTAAGCAATGATGGATAGTAGCTAGCAGTGGAGTCCAGGACGCGCGTTTCGTCCTGTTTGGGACTCTTCAGCTGGATGTGCCTGCATCTCAGAGTTGATGTTCACTCTGGGACTCGAACCCAGTACCATTCGCTTCAAACGCCATCGCGTTATCCACTCAGCTACGGAGTCTTGATAGTCACCTGCTTGTGCAGTGGGGTGAATTTAAATTCACTTGGTATTGTTTGGCTTGTATCCTCCCATTGAGTTTTTTTAAGGCTGCAATTGATCAGTCTGTTATTGGCATATGTGCATACTGTGCGTATGCCTCGATATTGCCTTAATTCACGAGCTTAATTCACAAACGTGCCTCCTGGATTCCAATGCTAGCCACCATCCATCATTGCTTACAAAAAGATTCATCCAAGAGTTTTGATAAATATTAGACAATGACATGAACCAAAGTAATTACTTGAACATATAATGTTGAATAAAGAATGAAATGTAATATGTTTTAATTTATTAGATTCCGTATCATTACTTTTTTCAAATAGTTTAAGTTTTCGCATTCCATAAAGTTACTTAGATGTTTGGGGTCCATAAAACTTATAGATTCCTAAGATATAGTCTAATCCCTTCATCACAAATGAATTGCCCTAGGAAATATGAATTCCAATTCACTAACAGATGGTAAATTTAATGAAATTCCTGACTTTTCCTTTCGAAATATTGGGATAATTCTATTAATTCATGTACTTTAGAAAGATTAAACAAAAATCATTTGGAATTTGCTAAGTGACAATTTATTAGATTTAACATTAGTTCTATAATCCTGATCGGTACATCATAAATTTAACGTTTTTTCAGAGCTCGTAAGTTTTTTTGCCTCATCAGAACTATTGCTGTATGAAATGAATAAAGAGATCGACTATACTACAAGTTGATAAAATGTTTTTGTGAAATGATTTATATTGTCTATATCATGATATTGAATAAATTTATTCACATAACCATCCTCTTTATCAGTGTATTCTGAATACTTCTTATTTAGAAGGTTTTTATGCACATGTAATATAATTAATGTAGTATACTCACCTATTCTGTCGTACAAGTTTAATGACATGTCACCATAATATTCAATGAAGACTAAGATTATCAGATTTTTATACATACTATGTTAGAAAGCCTTAACTTCTTTATAAGAAACAAATAAAAAAGCAAAAGAATCAACATGGCCAAACAAGGGTTAGATTCTATATCCTTTTCTTTAAATAGCATATACGGATATAAACTGCTTTAACCAAGTTCCTACCACTTATGAACCAGTATTAAAAAATTTAAATCTTTCTAATGCTTCTCCCTTTGTTATTGAAAGAATAATAAATCGGATCTCTTCAAAATTATTTGTATAGGGTTGTGGAGATTTTGATTGAAATCATGAACCGATTAATGTTAGATCACCATTGAAAACCTGGAAGCACTGGACGGCCGTTTCGTTGTCAGATATTAACTCACTGACGACAATGGTGGACGGTGGAGCAACTTCGTGTATTATTTGAAGTTAGACATTAACACCATAAGATGCCGGTTCAGTGGTCTAGAAGTTAGTCGTTCGTGCGCGAGACTGAAGGCCCTGGGTTTGAATCCCACGACCTGGATCTTGGATGCGCACTGCTGAGGGGTCCCACAATAGAATAAACGACCGTCCAGTGCTTCCAGGTTTTTAATTGTGATCTAACATCAATCGGTTCATGATCTCAACCAAAAACTCTTCAAAATTGACAATCGAAACCACACTTTTTCTTTAAGCAGTAAAATTCGTACTGAATGTACTAATAGAAAACATGATAACAACAAAGCATAGGAAATATTTTAAACTTGAAATAAATGGGAATTAGATTTGTTAAAATGCCTAAATAGTTAGTAATTGTTCTATTCATCAATTTGAACCAGAACCTGATTTTTCTGTACTTATGGTCGATTCTGTTTAAACGTCGATTTTGGACTGATGCTTACAAATACTAGAGGCCATTCATTATGATCCTTAAATTTACTTCGTTTTAACATAATGGCTGTTCTCAGTGCTTTATGTTCAATAAAATTAGTATTTCGGCACATGGTAGTTTTAAAAAGTTTTTTTGAAGATTCACTAATTCTATGCTGTTGATAAATTTACTAACTAATCATATGGTTTTGTGCTATAAAATTAGTTGCTTTCATCTTTAATCATGGTGAGAATTTCCATTCGATAAACTTCTCATATTGATACTTACTTGGTACTAGTTTTCTTAAGAAAGAACAAGATATGACTTTTCAGTTTTTATTCTTAGTCTAATATTTAAAGTCGAGGAACTTGGAATTCGTAATAGAATTTAGTTGATCTTCAAATATGTACTGAAAAAGTCGACTGCGAATAATAAATACTTGAATTCAATAGTGGCCATCAGACAAAAAGATATATCAGAATGGGTTTTGTGGAGATTTTTAGAAATTTCACAAATTGAAATCATGAGTCAAGTGAAGCTAGACCACCATGGAAAACCTAGAAGCACTGGACGGCCGTTTTGTCCTAGTATGGGACTCCTCAGCAGTGCGCATCCACGATCCCGCACCCTGCGGGACTCGAACCCACGACCTGCTGGTTTCGCGCGCGGGCACTTGACCATTAGACCACTGACACGGCCGGCATCCAATGGTGTTAATGTCTAACTTCAACCAATCCAAGAAGTTGCGCCACCGTACACCATTGTCTTCAATGAGCTGGAGTTCAACCAGGTCTGTTGTGAGATATCAGCTCACTGAAGACAATGGTGTACGGTGGCGCAACTTCTTGGATTGGTT